AACAAACTGTATTCTCAAATCTGTAAAGTTTTTGAACTATTTAAAACCCGATTCTGAGATGCAATGCCAACCACACATTTTTTTAATGTTGTGCAGATTTTTTCAACAAACTAAAATCAACAAGTTTTTTTAAGTATTTAAACCCAATTGAACACGAAACCCGACCCGAACCCGAACCCTACCCGAAATTATTAGAAACCAACATTTTTACATTAAATATCACTATTTTTATTGATATTACAGTGTCATGAGTTAATGACACTTCTTCGTCAATGCATCTGTAAGTGATACTAATTTCAAAAAGTATCACTATAAGTCAGTTTTCTAATAATGTTGTGTTGTTTCTTTTTTTTGACGTAGAAGTCTACTCAGACCGTTGCCACGTCATATTCACTAATTGATGAAGAAATCCTCCATTAAATGCTTAACCTATTCTCACTCCCACCCCACCTCTAAATCCCTAATGACTCCACCCCACCGGTGGGCGTAGCTCAACTGGTAGCAAGGGAGTGCCACAAGGGTTGGCTCTCGGGTTCGAATCCCGGCAACTGCGATGAGGAGTTACTATGATGAAAAATGCATAGGGCCTCTGCAAGTACCGGGGACAGAGCCCCACTCTCTATCTGTCAGATTGTGATTATAGTCCCATTTACATCCTCCCATCGTGCCGTCCGGTCGGTGTTGGGGGGCCCTCAGGGATGGGGTGTCATCCTTTCCCTAATGACTCCACCCCATCAGAGATGATTCGATGCATGATTACTAGTCGTGCACGTCGAGTACATAATCCTCTTCCATGAAGCAACTTTATTACTCCCTTCATAAAATTCATATCTTTTCACTTTCCTTTTTTGGACGTAACATTTATATCTTCCCATTTCTAAATTTTCTCATTATACACTCAATAATTTAAAAAACAATACACTAATACACCTACTTTTTTTGGATTTATCCTTCATTCCATCACATTATTTTACCATCTTCCCATCATACCCTCAATAATTCATACCCCATTTCACTATTCGTAATCTCACCCACTTTGGAAGTGGGAAGATATATGTGATACGGAGGGAGTAATTAAATACTCCCTCCATCCCATTTTGGTTGTCTTACTTTCCTTTTTGGGTTGTCCCAAAATGGATGTCATGTTTCCCTTTTTGGTAAGAAGTTTGTGGTTCATATCATTTTATTTTATTCTACTCAAATCTCAACCACAACTTTTACTTTTCAATCACTTTTTTAATAATCGTTCCAAATTGAAATGAGACAACTCTTATGGGATTACAACAAAGGACAGATTAAGGAGAGGCGAGGAACAGTGTGTTTAATTATAAGTAGTGGGGCAGGTTAGTGAGTGAGTCAAGGAAGACCGCTGCAAAAATGTAATGACGTTCCGGTCTTCCGGACGGCACGCGCTGTCAGGATTCTGGCCCGGTCGTCCGTCCCTATACATAATGCATGCATGATCTGATGTATCTCACACTACTTTCGTCTTTTTGCTGTGCCATTCCATTAGTTTTCATCTTTATTCGAAAAAGGCATCGAATTTCTTTTCTTTTTCCCTGCCACATCAACATCGCCTCTTTCAGTCTTTCTCCTCTACCACATATGACTAGAATGACGATAAAAATAACATATGACTGGAATATTTTTATGACGTTTCCAAGGCATGCATGAAATGATAAAAAAAGATAGACTGATACAAATTATACTCCGTATTATGGAGTATTAAAAAGGAAACCGGTGGCTGTAGCTCAACTGGTAGTGAGGGAGCTGAGTGCCACAAGGGTTAGGTCTCTGGTTCGAATCCCGGTAACTGCGATGAGGGGTTACTATGCTGAAAAATGCATAGGGCCTCTGCAAGTACCGGGGACAGAGCTCCACTCTCTATCTGTCAGATTGTGGTTATAGTCCAATTCACATCCTCCCATCGTGCCGTCTGGTCGGTGTTGGGGGCCCTCAGGGATGAGGTGTCATCCTTTTTTTAGTATTAAAAAGGAAGACAATCCATATTTGAGTCTTCCAACTGACCCAACAATTAAATAGGAGGAGGTAAGTTAAAATTTGATCACAGAATGATTAAAAGGTGCGGAGTTCCATTAAGTTTTTGCTTGAAATTGAACCCGATATCTAAGACCATATTCGTATGTGTAGCTATACCCTATTCCTGCTATGTAGCCTTGCCTTTGACGGTGTGTGTTATCTAGCTACTCCAATACCGACCTACACCAAGGCCATGATTCACCACCTTATGAGCTATTTAGATAAAGATAAACTTGGTTTCACATTTAAAAAAAAATGGAGTTTTTTTCCTACTGAACAAGTCTTATTTTTAGGTGGAGTTGTTGCTCATGACTTTTCGAAACTAGAATTTTATTTATAAATATACTCCATGCGTCCCACTAGTTTTCCACAATATTTCTCTTTGGTTTCTTTTAAAAATTTTGTCACTTAATTAATTTTTCCTACTTTCCCCCGCTAATAAACTCCTCTACATGAACCTCAAAAATTAATTGAGGTATAATAAATTATTCCCACATTGGTGCACAAGATCGACTTTAATTTGGTGATCAACTTTATTTCAAAAGTTGATTTATATCATTATTCTCATTTTACATTTTTCATGGAATAGGGTTTTCTCCTAATATGACTCATAATGTTTGCCACCTACTTAATTATAGAAAGCACAAAATGTTTTTGGGATATTGATTTTTTCCTTAAAAAATAGATATACTATGTCCAGGAATTCCCATCAGTTTCTAGAAAATATGGAAGAGTACGTGCAAATATGGAAGATAGTTGGGTAACATTGAAATTTAAGGTTACCTAGTTGGGTGGGTGTCACGAACTTTGAATTGAGAAAAATGCCTGTGTACACAAAATGTGTACACCTTTTTTGTACACTTGTCTGTTCCAGGCAGACAAGTTGTCTGTCATACACATTTTGTGTACACCTAGCAAAACCCTTGTGTTGGATCGATTCACCCCTGTCGACAAACTTCTCAGTGGATCACCCATCATTGGGCTTTCTTACCCCGGGCTCGCTTAACTCCAGAGTTTTGTGGTTAAATAGCAGCCATATCTTTCTTAAAACCAATTGGTGATATCTTTCTTAAAAACCAATTGGTGACATCCTCTATTTAACCCATTACTCTGTAGTCCCCAAGTCAAGGTATATTTCTGTGGGGCACCCCTCACAGTTCACTACCGCAGTGCAGAGTCTCACTACTGAGCGGTGGATGGACATGAGGGGCTGCATCACTTTGTGGTGCCAACATGTTGGACGATTAAGCCCTGAATCAAAGGGTGATGATGATCTCCTATAAAACCAACACCTTCAATTTAACTTCCGATGGTCTTGCTCAAGCTCTCTGTCTGGTGTGCATCTTATCTGGCTCGAAAACCATTAAACAATATAGACCTTAATTAATTATATTAATCCAATTAAACATGAATTTGTCCCATCACTACCAAATAATAATGCTATCTTTTGTGACCAATGGATATGATTCCCGGCCCGCACTAAAAAAGTGACACTTGAGCAGTAGCGCGGGGTCTTGCGCTTAAGCATGCCTACTAAAGGACAAAACATAGGCTTATAGATCCAATGTTTACAACTCCTTTGGACAATGTCTATGTACTCGTATAATTCAATTCAGTTATGGACTTATGGAAGAACACACTTCGACAATTGGTTTATAATACCTCTATTGATCATTCTAATTGTCATAATAAAATTTTCAACTAATTTAAAGTAATGTAACAAATTTAATGTACACTCTAAGAAAAGTAGAGGTTTTTGGTACTCTAATAGTGTAAACTTTATAGTGCCTTGTATATGCTTTTAGAGTTTTAGGTAGACTTTCCACAATTGAAAATGTGACAATTGATACAATCACAAAAACAATATGGGACAATTAAAGTGATATGCATTGAGAGTCCGTTTGGTAACATGAAAATTGGCTGATTCGGCTAATTCTGCTGAAATTTACGAAATTCTGGCTGAAGTGGCTGCATTGGTTGATTTTGCTGATTTAAGAAAAAAATTGTTTTAAAAATATATTTTATTAATAAAATAAAGAAAAAATATATATATAAAAATAGTTAAAATGGTCATCTACAGCAACTTCAGCCAATACAGGCTGAAATGTAACTCCAATCTTACTTTTTCTTGTTATTACATAATTCAGCGCGTGAAAACAAAAGTTACGTGTGTGGTGAAAAAGTTGGCTGATAAATCTTGTAAACCGAAAAAAGTGATACCAAACGGCCTCTGATTTCTTTTTATACACATTAAGAGCATGACATTTGGTAACATCTATTTTCGACTTTATCATCAGCCTTAGTAATCTACATTTTACCAATCATATACTCCGTATATTTAATTTCGGTAATGATTTGTATAATAATCAAAATAAATAAATATTAAGCTAAGTTACTTTTCTAATTGAAATTGTTGAATTGAAGAATACAATAAATCTGGCAATAAATAAACATATTTAGCCAATTTAGCCGCTTCAACTAGAACATCATAAGTGTAAGCATATTCATCTGATTAAGTTAATTTCAGTGTGATCAAACGGATTCTAATTAAGTCTAAGTTGAGTTTATAGACAAATGTTGTCTATAAATAGTTAAGTCAAAGAAAAATTGTATTTCTACGAACGAATATACTACCTCTGTCACAGAATATAAGATACACATATACGTAAGAGAATAAAAGATCAGATGAAGTGGTGGATTTAAAATTTCAACCCTTCAAAGAGTAAGAAAGAGTAAGATAGTTCACAAAAGTATTAATGGAGTTTAATTTAGGAAAACAATATAATCATATTTTGAGAAACCTTAAGAACGAAAGAATATCTTATCTTACAAAATGGCACAAAAAGTAGGGAGAATATGAAAACATGTAAATTGTTGGGACATACAATTATTAAATGTAAACATATATGGAGTATTGATATTGATTACACGAGAGTGACCCAACATTGTTGTTCTATTACGGAGTATTATATATGTATCCGCTAAAGTTCAATTCCTTCCATACATACATTCCAACACACAATATTCCTCAAAGCTTAAAGAAAGCTAAGGCAAAAAAGTTGATGAACTCGCAGAGACAAGGTGAGTTTCAATCGGTAACAAAAGATCTAAAGATGATTCAAGAGCTGTTAGCCGGAAATAATGGCGGCGGACTAGTAAGAAGGGAATGCCCTCCAAAGCTTCCATTTACTGAGTCAGCGCCCGGAGCGGCCGTTTCTTCTTCCTCCACGATTTCTTCATCTCCGGCACCGGAGAAGTTGAGGTGCCCGAGGTGTGATTCCTCAAACACGAAGTTTTGCTACTACAACAACTACAATCTCACGCAGCCTCGCTACTTCTGCAAGGCCTGCCGCCGTTACTGGACAAAAGGCGGCGCCTTGCGCAACGTCCCCATCGGAGGCGGCTGCCGGAAAAACAAGAATTCCTTCATACCCACTTCTTCTGCCGGCGGGGGGAAGGCCAAGTGGACCTCCCCTTTTCTTGGAGGATTTCAGCCGGAGACACCATTATCGTCATCATCGAAGCCGCCATTTCTTTTTGCTTCCTCTCAGAACAGTAATCTCACCCCATTTCTTTCCGTTCTAAGATCTAGTCAAAACCCTAATCTTATGAACCCTAGCCCTAGCGGTGTTCAGAGTACTGGAAATGAAGCTCATACTTTTTGGAGAAACAATAATAATCAGTTTATTCATTCGCGCGGAGAAGCTCATCATCAGAGCATGGGAGTTCTCATGGGAAATGCGGCGGCGGCGGCTTCCTCTTGGTCCTCTGCTTTCTCGCCGGCGATCATGGAGTCAGCTCCGGCGGTGTCGGGGTTGGGAGAATTTGGTTACTGGAACCCTTCAGTATCGGCATGGTCCGACCTGCCGACAGCCGCCGGTGACCATGATGGAAGGCTTTCTACACAGAACCAAGTTTAAACTGTTCTTCCACCACTTTATACGCAGCATTTAATTGTTTTTTATTACTTGTTGTAGTAATTTTATGTTGAGTTACCCGCGCGTTAATCGCAACATGTTGAATTTTACACTATTCACATGTTCTACTTTAACTACATTTTATGTTATTATTTTATGAAAATTATTATTTTTTTAAATATTATTCAATTCATCTCATTACAAATATTCAATATCTAATTTTTAAATATTTTTTACTAATAGAAATTAAGAAATAATTACGGTCAAAGACATGCATTGACAAGTGTGAAATGTTGACCGTTAAAACTAAAAAAGAATGGAGGGAATAGCTAATAGCAATATAATGTGATGTTGTATTGTGGTAAATTGGTATATCAGCCGTCAACATTCTGTATTAGTTCGATCTCTTGTTTTTTTTTTGACCGGAAATACTCGGTTGTAGTTGTTCCGGAGATATACTAACTTTTGATGAATGGTAGTGAGCATTATTTTGAATATGAAAATTATATCAAAATGTTCCTTATTCAAAATACTTTTATAAAAGTATAGAATTTATAAATTATATGTAGTATACAAATATAGTAATTTAAATCATGGTCTAAAGTAGGGGTGGGCGCGTTCGGAACGGTCCGGTAAATTAGCAAAACTCGTAATGTATCCGTGGACTTTTAACGGTCCGGTTCCAAGGATGAAACCGTTCGGTACCATGTCGTTTCGGAACGGTATAAAACGGTACGGTACAATGCCAAACACATGCTACATTGCGTATGTATAAATACAATTATTAGATATCATCACACCAACTAACTCACATGAAATGTTGATATAAATACAAGAAATTGCGTATGTACGTAGTACTAAAATTCAGAAATACACAAATAGTGCAACACAACTAAGAAAAAATATAGCAAAACGATGACGCAAGAGATAAATATCTTCTTTAATTTACTAAGTTGATGTGAAAATATAAAAAAGAATATCATCAAATTGTTTAATATAATAGAAATCTTCAACGTTCTTCTTCGTTCTAGGTTAAATATTACTCCGTGGTTCTAATTTAATTTATAGTTGAACCTTGAGAGGTAAGTTTTAAATCATATTAATTAATTTGTAAGATTGCACAAACATGATACACAAGCTAGAAATGAATAGTCATTAATGATTTTTAAAATTTTAATATTCTTTCAATACATACCAAAATATAACATAAATTATCTAAAAAGAAAAAATAACAATATATATATAAACACACACATTTTTCTATTTTAGGAACGCATGAATACATATTTGGGATATAAAAAATTGTTGGTCTATAAAAGATATCTATTGGTATAAAAAATATAAAAAATTCAAATGCATTATTTTCGAACGGTTCGGTCCGGTATTTTTCGGTTCTCAAAATCTAGAACCGGTCTCATACCCATTTCAAACAGTACGGTTTCGGTACGGGACAAAAATCTATAGAACAGTTTAAATACCCAGTAATCGGTTCGGTACCATTACAGGACGGTTCGGTACCGATTCGGTACCGATTCGGTTCGGATTTGATGCCCACCCCTAGTCTAAAGTTTGTCATCACATATTGAGACGGCCACCTCTAAAGAAGTAATGCAAATCACTAATAATCTAACGGGCAACATATAGTTCTTTCAAACCCATACCGTTACAATGCTCTTCCCAGCTTCACTAGACTCATAATAGTCGAGAAGTCCTCTTTGTGACTGATCAGACATGGAAAAGTTCACTCAAATTTGTGCGAAACTTTTCGCTGAACTTACGGGAGCTTCAAGGTAAATAATGACCTTATAAATCACAAGAGTGCAACTAACACACAAACTATCCAAAAATAAGGTAAAATGTCTAATGAAATAAAAATAAATCTTAAATTAAAATTAAAAATAGAGCAAAAAATTGCAGTTATATATCCAAATTCTAGCCGCTTGTTCACTCTATGGTGGTGGTTTTGGGGAGAGCAGACCATCACCATATCACCTTTTTCTCTATGACCAAACAATTGTAAGCCTCTTGAAAATCATCAAACTCGACCAATTTGAGGTACATAATGTTCCCCGAGTGATCGAGTCCCGGCCCATGATGATTTCAGACTTTTCCATATCTTCTCCATTGTACGTTGCTACCCAAAATTCAAAAAGCTAAGAAATCTGTTCTGCAGCCAAAGAACTACTCCTAAAAACCCGATATACGACCACGAAAAACCCTATGCGACGTAGCGCCTCACTTCCACATGTTTATTACGTGGATGGAGCTTCCGCTAAAAAAAATACTTACGAAAAGTGAAAAATTGATTCTCACTCTGTATCACAATAAATGTCTCACTTTCCCTTGTTGGCCGTATCAAAGTAAGTGTCTCACTTTTATTATAGAAAATAAATCCACCTCAAAAAACAACTACAATACACTTTAATAAAGTAAACGGTACTATTACACTACCAAAAACCTCACACTTTTTCAAAAAATGTATAATTAACCTATACTTTGTATAAATTATCTTAAATTACGTGAAAAGCATACTGTGACACTTATTTTAATACGAAGAGAGTTTTACTTACATTTTTTTAGCCTATTTATGAAATTAAAATTCTCTATATTAAATATGGCTTATGCACGGATTTTTCATAAAAAAGTTTTACTAAAATATACAAATGGGCTTGACTATTATCGTATATATTGAATATATAAAAATTCTGTATAATATGTATTATCATATACCAATTCAATATTATTATTATTATTATTATTATTATTACTATTATAAGTATTATTATTGCTATTATATATTAGATCACTATGCTTTAATTGAAAATTTTATAATTTTATAATTTATATTGTCATAAGAATTTCTCCGGTATGACTCATCATTACTTTATCTAGTTTCCAAAATAAAGATGAATATATAATTCAAGAAAAAGTATGACTATATGGCAACAAAAATAAAGTAATTTAATAATAACAATACTATATACTCCCTTCGTCCCGCTATTAACTTCCTGCTTTCCTTTTTGGGCCGTTCCAAAATCATCTTCTCATTTCCCTAAATGGAAAGTTACCTACATTAAAACAGTGCAAAACAGTGCCAACCAGTGTCTAAACAGTAAAGTCAAAGTTATTTCCTAAATATGTGTGTACGTCAAAGTAGGAAGTTAATAGCGGGACGGAGGGAGTATTGAATTTTTATATGATAACAAGGGGCCGAATATGGGACATTTGCACTTGGTGTAGGCCGGCAGCAGGCTCTTTGAAGCTAAATATGGATGCGCTAGTCCGAGTAAATGGAGGTAGTCTTGGTTGGTGCGTGCGGGATGATGGCGGCGGATTCATTGATGGGGCTGCATGCCCGTGGCCTGGGAGAGTTACACCACTTAATGCAGAATTAATTGGGCTCCGGGAGGCCGTTAGCTGGCTTAAAGGATATGGGTGGACCTCGGTGGAGGTCGAGACAGATGCATCCCGAGGTATTGGTGAGATTGTGCACGGTTCTAGTTGTTCTTTGATTGGTTTACTAAGAGACGACATCCGAGAATTGACGAATCATTTTTCATTCATTATTTTTTGTCATATTAAGCGGTCAGCGAATAAGACTGCCCATGATTTAGTCAGAGCAGCTTATTCTTTGTGTGATTCGCAGTCCTAGCTTTATTTTTTTATTGCCAAAATAAATATGACCTGTGCACTGATTTTTCATAAAAAGTTTTACCTTTTCATAAAAAGTTTTACTAAAATATACAAATGGGCTTGACTATTATCGTATATATATTGGATATATAAAAATTCCATATAATATGCATTATCAAATAAAAATTCAATATATTATTATTTTTACTATTATTAGTATTATTACTATTATTATATCACCATGCTTTAATTGAAAATTTTATAATTTTATAATTTATATTGTCATAAGAATTTCTCCAGTGCGACCCATCATTACTATATCTAGTTTCCAAAAGATGAATATATAATTCAAGAAAAAGTATGACTATATATAATTATACTAGTATATAGCGACAAAAATAAATCATGACGTAAATCGTTCTTTGTATTCTAATCATATGTTCTTAATAGAGCTTTTCGGTTAAATATTATGAATAACAAAGTCATGAACAAAAATCTGATTTAATAACTATTATTAGCAATAATTCTGTGTGAACAATATAACGTAAACATTGAACACAATTATGATCACAAATAATTATGATCCATCATTTCCCACGAGTAATATCAGTAAAAAAAATTAACAATAATTGTTCGATATTGTGAGGTATATAAATATAAATTACAACTATAAAAGATATTGAAGTGCAAAAGTATCATGATTGGCAGCCCATATAAAGATCATCAAGGATGATGTCGACCAACCGCCTGCCACAAAGAAGAGCATTAGAAGGTATATCATATTCGTTAGCCAAACTCTGAACTGAGTTGTAGACCCTGAGATACAACTGTTGTCCGAGGTATCGCCTTTCCCACAATGCAGACCTCAAATTCCACATCCCTTGGTTGTCCAAGGATACCCGTATGGCACTCCATGATTTTGGATATACCTAAAGAAAGACATAAAAAAGCGCACATAAATTAAATCACACCATCTTATTCATCACTTTCATATATTACTAGTTTTTATCATTATTAAAGCTTCATATTCCATCCCGAAATTGGAATCACTCTCATATATAGTAGGATAACACTTGAGAGTTAAGACCGGCCTATTCATTTGGAAATGAATTCTTTGGTCTGATTTGGTCCATTAAGTTAGAGGTATACTCCAGTCTTTAACAAATCTTGATACCGTCTTAATCTTATAATGTCAATTCCGATAGGAGGAGTAATGTTTACATTGAATTGCACCAGTACAAATGACTTAAACACCTATCATAAATAGATTGTTGAGAAGTTTTTCCCATATCTACCTGTGTGGTGTGTCTAGTAAGAGCATCAACAAGATTGTAATTCTTTTGACTCGTTTCGTTCCACACTCCGAAGCCAAATCTGCGAAAGATTGCATAGGAGGAACTGATAAGAAAGTATTAGATTTTAGAAATATTATACTCCATATATATTTAGTAGTCATTCACTGTTTCCTGTCATATGTAATGATACAGAGTTTTTCCATCATTTACAATAGAGCAGACTCACTATTTTTTGGTTTAGGAATATGATGAAATAAAGAAAATGGCTCATTAAACTGCCAACGCTTCTTTCTTAGGAAGCAGCGGTCAGCCTATGCAATTTTCGATACAATTTTCACTTTGGATCATCTGTAAACAGTCTCTATATGCTTTAGTACAAAGGGTCAGACTGCTTACATCTGACCCCGTACCCCACCATAGGTGGTAAGCCTTTGCGGAACTCGGATGATGATGATGATGATGTAACGATAAGAGTTACTTACCCAATGGGCCAGAAATCATAGCCATCAAGGTGCCAAGACTGCATGGTGTCCTCATCATTTTGGAACACGATTTCAATGAACTGATGGAGAGAGGTGGGAAGTACAGCCGTAGCTAATGTGGCAGGCATACTACCATTAGCAGAAGGAGAACTCTTGATGGCACTCAGATTGAACACTCCGGGGATGTTAAAGTAGTCTGCAAGTTTGAGTGGGGTGTCAGGATCTGCGTAAGACACTCCATTGACAGCGTATCTCTGCTTCTCGCCAATCGTTGGTGCTGAGTTTGCAAGCAAAATCGCCATTGATGGAGTAATTGTTCCATAGTGAAAAGAGCCTTGAGGGTTAGGCCTTGCTGCATTTGCTGTCAAATTCCACCTTCAATATAGATAGAGGCATGCACATATATATTAGGCCATGGCGAAGTGTAAGAACTTCAATCTACAACAATGTTCATTGTCGTTGGATACTTGGATACATATCTTATAAGTACATTTTGTTAAGACTTGATTATACATGAACATTTCCAATATAAGAAATTTAGGTTTGTAAGACTTTAATCTAATCATTATGTTTTTTTATATGGGAATGGATATTAAGACTTGATTTTTCATCTTCAATATTCAACGTGATAGGTGTACTAATGAAAATACTCAAGGTGCGTTTGAACTTAAGATGTTGTAAAATGTTATGACTCGTTGCAACAGACTAATCTTTAAAATGTCCATCAGCTAATTGCTAAAGCTCATTAGGATAAAATTGTTGCTTAGATCTTATAATCTTTTTATATACTTTATCAAGACTCGGGTTCCCTCCTAAATAGTCAAATCGATAGAGAAGTTGTCTAATGCCTTTTGTTGAACTCTTTTACCCCGCCCCGATATCTAGTCATTTTACTCAAAACCTTGTTTACTTACAGGCTCTCAATATGTCAGGTGGATGAAAGGTACCTGAATGTTCTTGCTTGGTCCATAGACCAGTCTAGTTGGCCAGCCGGAGCACCTGGTATCGGCCCAGAAGCAGCTGAGAGAGAGTTCGAGTAGTGCAGCACAGAAGCCGAGCTAAGAACCTGTGCAGTAAACCGTGTTGACGCAATGATGATATAGTCCTTCAGAAGCTGATCCATAGTGACAACAATAGACGCGGATTGACCGACGTGCACTTCCAGTGTGTCATACACATTCTGGACAACATGGGATCCTTCAACCTCAACTAACTTCATTTTGTGGCCTTGAATTCTGAAGTTTATGGAAGTTGACAACCCCACATTTGAGATTCTGAACATGTATGTCTTACCTGAAATGTAATTAAAGCATGTAAACATATTTTACTGTGGGAAGAATAGATATAACTTGGCGTTTCACACTAAGGCTAACCTTGAGTCACATGGAAGGTAGACCGATTCAACCCGTTTATAAGTAGGCCATCAGGGAAAGGCACAGATTTTCCTAAATCCAAAATCTTCTGTAATTCCTGTTCAGTACTAAACACTTCAATGAAATGACTTTGATTTGAACTTGTATAACTAGATTGGGTTGCTTAAGTAGATGACATAGTGCTCCATGATTCTTGCTTCGATCAGCAATAAACAATGAGGAGAAAAAACAGTTGTTTACGAGATTGTTGGAAGATTACTTCGGGAATCGTCCACTTTTCACATGTCCTCTCAGAATAATCTTATGTAAATGTACTTTCAAAATAATTTCACCTTTGTACCCTTTTTGCTTTCACTGATTTTGACGGGTTGATAACCTGTTGTACCAAATTTTTATCTTCTTTAGAAAACACTAAACAATAAAATTTCAGCCTTCACCTGTCCTTTGAAACAGTCATATATCTTTTTTCTCCCTTCTCCCCAGAGGTTTTCTCCTTTTTATTACGGAGTATCATCCAGGTACTGTTTTTCCTTTCTTTGATTATTTTTTATCACTTTGACGCTTTTCCCCCCTCTTTTTATCTACTTGTATAAGTGATTGTTTTGAAAGATCACCCCGTCATCACCCAGTCAAGGACTAGTGGAAATAAATGGGGTGCAAAGATGCGATTAGTTTGAGATTAGGTTTAGGTGGAACTATTATGAGAACACAAATGAAAAGTGAGATTATGATTGTCAATTTTTCCTTTTGTTTATACAAAAAATAATTTCAGTTCAGCCTTTTACATAATATGTCGTAAGCACAAAAAGATTGTTGTTTGTTTAAAATGGTTTCCTTTGTACTTTTTCATAGACAAAAAAACATAAGACAACATGTTGTAGATTATGGGGATGCACCAAGCATTACAGAGGCATAGCCCTATTCGATCTCTAGGTAAAATGATACAAAAAAAAACTTCAAACACATCTACTTCTATATAAGAAAAGAATAGGCTGTGTTAAGTACATTTTTACCCTCTAAAATCCAACGTGCCCTCATTCCCGTATTTCTCTCTGCTTCTCTGGATGATCCACGTGGCTTCATTGTTTGAGCTGAAAAATCACCGCTCTTAAAAAAAAACTCCCCTCCCCTGCGCACAATTTTCTCGGCCAAAAAACTAACTCGCACCTCCCCGTTTTCTTCTCTGATAATAACTCGCACCTTCCTGTTTTCTTCTCCGATAATACCTCGGCAGATTTGGGCTGGAGAGCTTGCCATGTATAAAGAAATTAATTCCCCCTCTACGCACAATTTTCTCAGCCAAAAAAAAAACCTTTTGTCTTCTCCGATAATTCCTCGACAAATTGGGCTGGGGAGCTTGCCATGTATAACACGCCTCTCCCTCTTCCCATCCACAGAATTACCGCAATTTTGAGAGCCGTCAAAGCACAGACCACTGCAATATTATTATCGCTATATATATATATACCTTGACAATGCTAGGGTTTTATGTTGTATTGCCCTCTCTAATAACACAGGTACACCGTCTATTCTCATTCCATCATCTTTCTCTGCATCTAATTAGTATTTGCTGCTGATTTTTAGTTGTTTTTGCACATATTGTAAGTGAGCAGAGCATGTAAGTTATAGCATATGAGGTGTTCGATGAAATGTTTTTATTGCGAAAACATATTAGATTTTAATAATTCGGCATGTTATTTCACAAGCATTAGCTGCATGATTTTTCCCTAAATCTGACTGGCAGAATAGAGATGGCTATCATAGGACCTTTAACTGAGTTGAAGAAGTAAATATGTCCAATAACTGAGGGTTTGTTTGGACCTTGGGTGGAGGGGTTTACTCTTTCTGTTTTATAAAAAGTCAAATATACATCGTGTATTTTAGACTAAACCATCCAAAAAACTTTCCCTCCATCCAAAGGGAGCATACAACATCCTGTCATATATGGGTTAAGCTTCACCTTAAATACATTACTTTGACAATCTGCTGCAAAAATACAAGAACTAATACAAAGATACATGAAGAGCCTGTATGTTACTTCCGTGTGAAACCAATACTCTGTGAAGTCTTTCATATGAAAGACTTTGCCATGTAAAAGTTGGCAGCGAAAGTAACAGTAAGTGATCGACTATGTTTTGCTCTAACAACATGAATCTTCAAGAAACATTTTAATTAGTTTCAGCGCAAAAGAGTAAACATGATTTTACATTCCTTCAAATGTTTCTATTTACTCTGTTTCACACAGTCTCTTTTGTTTTATTCTGTCATTTTTTTGTGTTCATCCATCTCAATAAGCCTCCTTTTTCATCTATACAGGCAATAGTTAATCATCTATTCCTACAATAGATTATAAAACAGTGATCCACTTTTTATTTTGTCAATTCTTTTAAAATCAAAAGGAAATGATTAACTTTTTGAATCTGTGAACCAAAAGGAAATGATTCACTTTGTGAATATTTGACCCAAATTTCTATTATGTGAACCCTGAACCATACCGCTAAAGGATAGTACTATATGAAACCATTTTTTTTTTCTGAGCAGATGTTGCTAGAGGCTTTTTTATGCTATGTTTTTTTTTATGGACAAATGTTTTTGTTGTTTTCCTGAACAAATGTTTTTGTTTTTTTTTTGCTTAACACATGTTTTTGTCTTATCATATCATGTTTTTTCTTTTTATTAGCTTTTCGTGGAATTTTGGACCCTGCGATATGGCACGCAAGATAAACACAATTCAAGAGATCAATGACTCAAAGGAGACATGGAAGATTGCGGTTAGAGTGATTTCACTCTGTCCTGTTGATTCTTTAAAGTTCATGGAGATGGTTTTGATGGATGCCAATGTATGACAATTACTATCTTAGTAATTCTGTAATTCATAATGTATACCGTTATGATTGAAAATTAATTTAAAATTATTTGCATCCATTAGGGCCATAAGATACAAGCAGTTGCGAGGAATGCCGAGATGGTTGTTTGGAAGCCAACACTTAAAGAAGGAGAAACGTATGTGATGCAAAATTTTGTGTCCTACGCAATGATGGGGAATACAAGACTTGTGAGCATCCATTCAAGCTTCAATTCACAGGTGGTACAACGCTAAAACTACAAAATCTCTCCGATATTTCCATGGATCACTACCAGTTTAGAAGCTTTTGTGATATACTAAGTGGCAAACTGGACCCTAATGTTTTAGTTGGTGAGTATCAAATGATAACCGCTCATAAAATTTTGTATACGATAAAAAATTAATTGATATGTTACTTATTAGTTTTTGAACTGATGAAAATAGATGTCATTGGATCTCTGCATAACGTTCTTAATGCCCAGGCTAAAAAAATATCATTTTTAATGAAAGATCTCAGGTAATGTCATTAACTTTAATTACTCCTATTATTTTAATTAGTATTCCTAAAATTTAAGCCTTTTGAATTATTCATTGCTGAAAATAGTACATCATGTTTTCGTTGTAGTGGTGATATGATCACATGCAAAAATCAAGGAACCGGATGGTTAGAATTTTTTGTTTAAGCGTTCTTCATGTCTGTGTACAAATACATATTATAGATGCTAATAAAATATACCTGACTAATTTGATAGGCATGAATCCTATCACCATTCAAAATAGCAAGTATAGCTCCAAACTGCTCATAAATGAAGACATTGCAGAAATTCAGCAATTCAAAGATAGGTATATCATCAGGATTAATGTTCTGCTGATTTCATTTTCTATTTTCGAAATAATATTTATTATTATTTAAATATAACTCCATGTTTAAATTATCAAAGCTTCAAATCAAATCAAGTGAATGAGCCACAAAGTCAAAATCAAAGCCAAACTTCAGGCTCCACTTTTTCTGAGCAAGAGAAGCTTACATATAGAGCTGTTCTTATGAGTATTGCTGATATAAATTGCCTTAAAGAGGTATTGAAAAGTTTTAATATTTTAAAAATTAATAAAACACTGAAGTATATCACTGACATTTTAAATATTCTATAGGAAACAA